AGCAATAGCAATAGCAATAGCAGTTAGACTTATATACCGCTTCATAGGGCTTTCAGCCCTCTCTAAGCGGTTTACAGAGTCAGCATATTGCCCCCAACAACAATCCGGGTCCTCATTTTACCCACCTCGTGTGTTGGAAGGCTGAGTCAACCCTGAGCCGGTGAGATTTGAACAGCCGAACTGCAGATTGAGCAGTCAGCTGAACTGGCTGTAGTACTGCACCCTAACCACTGCACCACCTCGGCTCACACCCTCCCCTCTGCTATTTAACTATGTGAATAAAGAAATTGGAAAAGTAGCCTCTCTGAGAAAAAACATTTTCACCAGCATTTAATGAACTGATTAATCACATTGCTAGATCAAATAAATTGTTGATACATTGTGACTTTTTCTCAGACGTCGGAAGATGAGTATGGTTGATCCTCTTGGAACTGAACGCAACGTTTAGGCCATTAAACTCTTCAAAATGTAATGGAATATTTGGGGAAGCATTGTATTAATACTGATGTTCTATAACACTCATTTCATGTGAAAATAAATAGTCTTTAACCTAATCCTAATCTTTATATAGTTTAATTCTTTTTTTGTAAAAGATGCTTAGGTCTCCATTTAATTAATTAATGTACATTAACTTTCTCAAAAGTAAAAGTTGACTATGATCTAAATTCCCTCTAATTACAAAAGTAATCAAGAAACACACATTTCCAATTGGTGCACTTGCACAATTACAAACAACGTAGATGGAAATCCTACTCAAATAAAGAAAATAAATAAATAAGAGTTATTTCCAAATCCTTGAGTTTAGAGGATTTCGTTTTTAGGGATGTGCAAAGTTGTGAAATCCATGTGCAAATGTCTGAGGAGTCAGGATCCCAAAAGCAGACACAGGGAACAATTGACTCTCATTTGTTAAATTATGTAATTGCAAATAATGACATGGCCCACAGAGGTAGAAAGTATCTCCTCTGTGCAATTTCCGCCCATTCAGGACGTTGCAAGATCAAAACCAACAAAATGTCCAAACAGGAAGTCCCTTCCAAATTATAGCTCTTCCTTTGAACCTGACATCCTGACTCTCCCCATCACTTTGAGCAGAAATAATTGAAAAGGCTCCGGTTACAAAGTCCAGTTCTTTTGAAAGTACGGGCTGTCTAGGTGAAGGTTATGTGTCGCTCGGGGTTAATCAAATACCCAGGTTTCCATGGGTACCATACAGTTTAGAAGATGAAAGAGGGAGGGAAAGGTTTGGCCAGCATCCTAGGAACATGTAGAATTTCAGTCTGCTTTGTTAATTACTGTTGTTTTAGTAATATTCCTCTATTTCTCATCTGTTTGCCTTTCTACTGCCCTGTTCGCACAATGCTCTAAGCTGGGTCAAGGGTGGAGGTGGGGGGGCTCCATGAATCATACAACCACTCCAACCCAGTCAATTAACCCTAGAAAATAAACCAGGCTTGGATAGCATTGGGGGTTAATCAATCTCCCCTGTATCATCAGAACAGGCACAGGAAGATTTTCACGGAGGACAATCTTTAATTGTCCTTTGTGCTTCCAAAAGAGTCTCCGAGTATAAGGTCTCTCTAGGCATTTTTATCTTTCTCTTTATTTTTCAGTTCCTTAGACTTAAAAAGGGGGGATGGGGGGAAAGGAGCATTCACTGGCTGGGGAATTCTGGGAGTTGAAGTCCAGACATCTTCAAGTTGACAAGGTTGAGAAACACTGCCCTATACTATTTCAGACAAATGGTTATCTGACCTCTTCTTTAAAACTTCCAGTGTTGGAGTATTTACAACTTCTGGAGACATGCGGTTCCACCGATGAATTGTTCCAACTGTCAGGAAGTTTCTCCTTAGTTCTAGGTTCCTTCTCTCCTTGATTAGTTTCCATCCACTGCTTTTTATCTTGCTTTTGTGTGCTGTGGAGAATAGGTTGGCCCCCTTTTCCTTGTGGCAGCCCCTCAAATATTACAGGATGTTAGTAATCGCCTGCTTCTTTATTTGTGTTTAGATTCCCCTCTTCTACACCTGTATCTTGATGGAAAACCACATCTAAAGGATTTTGACTCCGGACTGTATTGAAGGGACCCAGAAAATTTAGCCATTGTCTGCAATTCGTTGGAATGGACATCTCCAACCACGTAGTTGAGTGTTAGAAGCAGTCATTTGTAAGGTATTTAGAGAGCCGAGGTGTCGCAGTGGTTAGGGTGCAGTGCTGCAGGCCACTTCAGCTGACTGCAGTTCTGCAGTTCAGCTGTTCAAATC